AGAATATGTTTTAAATAAAATATTGTATATATAAATTATACCCCATATTATTAATAATTTTTAATTTTATTTAAAAATTTGTAAATTTTCCAGGCAAATTTGCCTGGAATACAGTTTAAGGGATAATATTCTATATTGTGCCACTATACTAAAGGAGATCCAAACTCTGGTTGGACGTAAATAACAATTTTAACAATTTGAAGGGCTACGAACCAACTTGTATATACAAATAAAAATAATATTTTATTTATACTGTATGTATACAAGATCATGTGCCCAATTCGTGCAATATGTATAAAATTCTATAGTGCCTTTTTTATATTTCTTATTAAGAATTAAACATGTTGGATAAGAAAATTTAACATTATTGTTACGTACGTACGTACAACGACATGTAAAACAATTATGATATATAGGCGTTGTTCAATAGAAAAGGGAGAGATCTCCTTTTTAAATCTGGTCAATTTGACCAGAATTAAAAAGGAGATCTCCCTTTTCTATTGAACAGCGCTCATATACAGAAATAGTTTTTATACGGATTATGCCGAAATTACAAATTTAATCGGGTGTTCCATCCGGATCTAGCGTAAAAAGATTTGAACGGGTTCGATATTTTTTATGGGTATGAAAATAGCGTACCCGAATTGAATTGCATATATGGGGGTGAGACAGTAGAAACGCACCATATTTTTTTAATGAAATTTTTTTGAATCTTCAAACAAAAAATAACTTAGCAAAAACTTAACCAAATTTAGTAAAAATTTTTTACAAGTTTTTAGAATTGGTTTAAAAAAAATTTATTAAATTTGATTAAGTTGTTGAGTTATTCTTGATTAAAGTTTTAAAAAGATTTACTTTGACTCATCCCCATATGATTAACGTTAATGGTTTCGGTTTACGCAGCAAGTTTGAAAGATTGGTATTGGCTACAGGTGCACGTGAGAGATAAACTGTGCCATTGCCGGTAGTTTGCTTTCTTATACCCATTAAAAATACCGAATCCGTTCAATTCCGGAGAAAAAATTAGATTCGATAAATCACCGAAATCAGATTCGGTTATCGATAATTTAAGAAAATGTACGTTCAACGGCAAATATAAGTAGTTCCAGCCCCAGGAACTAAGCAAAAAAACCTTTAATGTCTAAGTCATTTTCCTTAGAATCAATTGTTCGTCCAAATATTCTTTCTCTTACACCGTATAGGTGTGCAAGAGATGACTATGGCTCTGGAATTCTCCTTGACGCCAACGAGAACTCTTTTGGTTCAATTTTACAGGAAGATGAATCTTTACTAGTTAAAGATCTTCATAGGTATCCCGATCCTAACCAAGTATTAATCAAAGAAAGGCTTGTCTCTTTTCGTGGCTTGCAATCCATTGATTACCTTTTTCTAGGAGTAGGTTCGGATGAAATTATTGACTTGGTGATAAGAATATTCTGTGTTCCTGGAAAGGACAAAATTCTGATCACACCACCAACTTATGGAATGTATTCTGTTTGTGCTAATATTAATGATGTTCAAGTAATTAAAGTAAATTTGGATGTTGATGATGGGAAATTTCAGTTGAAACCTGATAAAGTAATTATTTTTTTAGCTTTTTTAAAAAGTTTAAAAATTGCGTCATCTAACGCCTATTACTTAGATCTCCGAAGCATTATCCGAAAACCCTTCACCTAAAATAGTTTTTCTTTGTTCTCCTGGAAACCCAACCAGTACCTGTTTGTCCCATAATACTATAAAAGCAGTTTTGGATGATCCAAATCTTAAAGGTGTCGTGGTCATTGATGAAGCATATATAGATTTCACAGAGGAAACAGAAGGAGCTAGTGTTGCAAAATGGGTAGAAAAATATCCAAATTTAATAGTCATGCAAACTTTGAGTAAAAGTTTTGGTCTGGCTGGGATTAGGTAAAAATTTATTTGAATATTTTAATATTTTTCGCATCATTGAATTCCTATTTATTAATCGATAACATTTAGACTAGGCATATGTATAGCCGACCCAAAGATAATTCGTTTGATGAACAATACTAAAGCACCTTATAACATCAATTCTTTGACCTCTCATACTGCACTTAATGCACTATCATTACAAAATATTACAAAAATGCGTGAAACAGTTCGTCAAATTCGTGCAGAACGTGAAAAACTCATATCTTCTATTACTAGTATAACTGGTATTGGCAAGTTATTAGGTGCAAATAATGCCAATTTTATCCTCGTACAAATTTTAGATGAAGCTTGTGAAAAGCCAAGTAACGAGAGAGCTCACTGGATTTATAAAGAATTGGCAGAGAATCAGGGAATAGTGGTCAGATTTCGAGGCAAGGAGTTTGGTTGTGAAGGGTGTTTAAGAATTACAGTAGGAACACCTCAAGAAAATGAAATATTGCTAGAAAAGTTGAAGCATTTATTGGGAGGAACCACTGTTAAATCTACCTAGTACTACTGTTTTATTATGCTAGAAGTCTCGCTTATAAAATTTTTTAATTATTTAGACATGTACATTCAATAAAGACATCATGTACATAATGCAGTACTAGAACTAATAAAATTTAAGTAATCAAAATGTTCCAATATTTTGTTTAACGATTTAACGACTTAATCATGTCAGGCTTTTGATTTCGCTTCACAAACCCTTTTTAATTTTTCCTGCGTCTCCTCAATCTTGCGCGTAGTGTCATCGATAAGATTCATTCTTTAAAAATTAATAAATTTGAGTGAATATATATTATTTATATAATTTAACTTTTGTAAACATATTTAGCTCTGTAAGAGAATACTTACTCTTTATTAAGAGCGTCCTCCACTTTACTAAGTTGACTTCCACTTAAAATAACGAATTGTTTCGACTGCCGAAAAGAACGTCTGGGCGATAAAAGTTTGTAATCTTGTCTAAGTGCTTCATGGCGTGCCTGAAGCTAATATGTAAATCTATTTAAAGAAAATTCAAATAAAAAAAAAACGCATCATATGAATAAGATTTAATCATACCTGTTTGATTTTAACGCTTAATCCATTCCCGCCTTTGATGGCACTATGTATCTTCTCTAAAGCCTCATGATACTGCAATTCAAATTCGCCCGGTATAGGATCATTCCGGTACATTAATCTCTGAAGGATAGTGTCAGCTCTACATTCGAGATTTAATTGTTTGTCTCTCAGATTCCGTATACGATCAGATAAATCTGGAAATTTTTCGTCAGCAAATTCAGTTAAATAACGACGAATACCCTCAATGTTCTTAATTTGACGTCGAAACCCGACGCTTTGATCATCGGCCCTAAAAATTCAATCGTCAGAACAATATATAATCAATGCCACATCGTCATACTGTTAATTTAGCTAACCTTGAACAAAGAGCCTTAACTGCTTCCTTCATTTCGAATATTTCTTGTTGTATATGATCCATCATTGATTGAAGAAATTCCGTATCAATCTCATAACTAGTACCTCCTATTTTTTGTTGAGTACGTGGTAAAACAAGTTTTGGCTGACGCGTAAGGCCTTGGTAATTCAAGTATTTCGTCAGTGATTCAGGGAAATGAGGTAAATCAGGATTATATCTAATATTTTTTCTAGCACTATTTTCAAATCGAGACCGATAAAGATCATCCATTTCTTCCACTCTTCTGATTGATAATTCATGATAAATCAATTGTAAGGTAGATGATAGCATTAACACGGCATAAGAGAGTTGAACATCGCTCATTATTGATAACCCAATAAAAGGATCTGGATCACTAAAATTTACAATATATTGTTGAGAATAGTTATATATACAGAATAATCAAACTTAGCATGTACATCACTATCTAACCTTGGTAATGTTCCGGCAATCCAGCTGACATCAGACTTCCGATTTTTCTCTAAAAAATTTTCTATTGCCATTTCATTTTCAACGTCCCTTATTGCTTCGCTCAAATCATCTAGCCAACTCTTTAGGACTATGCCATGGACACCCGCAAAATGGTATACATAAAATGTATCCGCATAAAATGGATCCTGTACTAGACTTGGGTTGTTCATAGAGTTTGTTATTCGTTGGCTTCGCCATGAAGTAGGATCGACAAAATCTTTTTTGAAACCAAGATCTATACATTCATATAGTATCAAGGTCGGATTATCAATATCAGATGCACCCTATAAATTGATTAAATTGATTAAATTGATTATGAGTTCCCAAATAATATATACTAATATATATATATATAGAAAACTAAGGCTATTAATTTTCATTGATAACACATACATCCGTTTTCCACAATGCTTCCACGCGATCAACCTCAAGACAAATATCTACTCGACCATTATTAAATGCTATCACAATAACGTTAACTGGTTGTGTTCCCAAGCAAATTATATCACTGGCGTCTGTCATGTGTGCCGATAATTCCACTGGCGTTGGTTGTATATAATATGGACCCTGTAATTGAGTTGATTGTCGACCAATTGCTGGGGGGATGAACACGACTTTATTCGAATCATCGTTGCCAATTTGTTTATAAATAGCAGACATCCATTCGAATTGTCGTCGATATTGATTGAGTAAATTGTAACAATTTTTTACTTTATGCTCAACTACTAATTTTTCAACTTCAGAATATTTTTTAGAGATAAGGCACGCAAGTTGATCGAGGAAAAATTTATGACAAATACTAAGAAAACCGACGATTTTAATAATCATAAATTGATAATCATAACATATTAATTTCAGAAAATGCGACTTACCATTTGTTTGGGACAATAGGGCACATCGAATATATATCTCCATTATCAGCTACAACATAAACTACAAAACCACCCCACCCTTCCTGACCTTGTCCAAAGCAAAATGATACAGCTTTGGTAGATTCAGTACTAAATGATATACCTTCTTTTTGTGGAATAGGGGAGAAATTGAATTCTTGTTCAGGTTCAGTAACGTCCTCAAGAATGTTGTACATTCTGAAAAAATAAAGGTACACTTTAACTACTAATATTACCAACGAAAGTAATAAAGAATTATCAAGCCCGAATGAAACCTTAATTTCATATCCTCAGTTAAAACTACTAGATGGGACCCAGACTCACTCATAGGGTGCCATAAAACTTTTGCTATAGGGCTTGAACCGACAACATGATAATAAGGGCCTATATTGTGAGCTCTAGAAATGACAGGCAGATATTAATGTAAATAATTTTTAAAAAATAATTGGAAATCATCAATATAATCAAGTGAAAATACTTTCCTGCAGGAAATTCTTTCACATATTGATCCAGAATAAGATTTCGGCATGACTACCACAGCCACTTCATAATCACCAGAAACAGCAATTAAAGTTCCTTTTTCTTTGAAATTGACAGTAATCGATCTTATATTATAGTTTATGGATGGCGTATCAAGAGTCACATGTTTGACATCGTTCATCCAATCTGGTAAATATTCGCCATCGTCAATATCATTTAAACCTAATTCGTCACGTTCGATCGCTTGACGCCACGCATACTTGAATTCCATTAAATTCAAGATTCTTATCTCAGATCCTACAGCCACTATAAGGTTTTTACTAATTGAAGCTGTTAAGCATGATTGTTTCCTTTGTCGATTTCCGTATAATTTCAGTGCTTTAACTAGTAGATTATAATTTATCAGAGTTCTGAGGTAAAAAGGCCACTAAAGAAAAACAGGCTTACAATCTTCTTCCAACTGTTCTACTTCATTTGAATGAAATATTGGATGATGTGGAAGAATATCTAACCAGCTGGGTGTATCTATCGGATCTTCTTCAAAGTCACTATACATTTAACTGTTGTTTTGATAAAAGTATTCTCAATTGCAAATAAAATCATATTCATATTAACCGATTTGGCTTGACCCCAAAATCAACCAATCATAATTAGATCCATGATTAAGAATATCAGATATAAAAAAAGGTGGTCCCATACTGTAATAAAATTTTTACAGTGCATAAAAATTATGTGGAGACTGTTTTGGCTTGAATTTTTTATATTGAAAGTTTTTATTCCAAAGGTCATCTGTTAGCATAGTTTTTTCATTTATATTGTATTTATTTCTTATTAATCGCAGGTTTTAATTAATGCTTCGGTTTATCGAAAATAACTTAACTTGTAAGCTTATACATCGATATTTTATATTTTTAAGCAACAAATTTTGACACGTTTCCGTTAAGTTTGATTAATTAATTGTCTTTTTATGATTTAATTGGTTATTAAGTTGGTATAATTGTTCGTTCAACGATTTAACGTTAACGTTAGTTTCAAAATTTTAACATTTCCGTTACTACACGTGATAACCTCTGAAATTAGAATTATTTTCCGCAGTCTATATAAACCATTAAAAAATGGCACATAAAAACTTACTTCCTCCATTAACACTTTACCGTCAAATTCTGAGAGTTCACCGGGAGCTTCCGCCTTCTCTTCGTTCACTTGGTGACGATTATGTAAAGTCCGAATTCAAACGACATAAAGATATAACAAATCCTATTCATATTGTCGGTTTTCTTAGTGAATGGCAATCGTATTTGGAAGAAATAAAAAAACAGACAAGCATTTTGGCCTCAAACGAAGAAATTAAATTTGGGAAAAAGATTGAATTAGGGAATTTAGAAAAGTTTAGTGACCAACAACTCGGACAATTATATGAATTAAGAAATGAAACTAAAACTGCAGTTGTAAGACTCAAGAAATCAGAATAAGAAATACAGTAATTAAAATAAATATTAAAATGCACAATGTCCTGAGTATGTTAAATTTTTTTTGTTATATTGCAAGACGAAAATAAATTTGATAATGTGTAAATTATTCACGTGATTATGATACGTACTTCTGCAAATTTTTTACAGGGGATCCCTCATAGCCAGAAAGACCTTTTAAACTTCAAGGGTTTTTTGAAACTTTAAGTATTTCTCGACGAATATTTAACTAATTTCAGTGAACTTTTTATATTTTAATTCTACAAACATGTAGAATTAAAAAAAAAAATTTCATCAAATTTTGTTGGTCGTGGAGAAAACTGCTTAAATTTTAAAAAAAGTTTGGAAAAAAGTAATAAAAAACCATAATAAAAACCTTTTCTTTTCAACTTTATGCAAAGATTTCTCAACGGTTACCTGATCAAATTTGATGAAAATTTTTTTATTTTAATTCTGTTTGTAGAATTAAACCAAAAAAAAATTTATTGAATTTAATTAGGTAAATATTCGTTTAAAGTTTTCTTTTTGTAGGTACTAAACCTTTACACGAAGTTTTCTCGATGATTATCTAACTAAATTCAATGAATTTATTTCTGTAGACTTATAAAATTAGAACAAAAAAAATTTCATTGAATTTAGTTAGATAATCGTGTAAAGTTTTAGTACCTACAGAAAAGAAGCTGCAGTAAACTTTTTTCAGAACTTTAAATGATTATTTCTTAAAATTTTAACCTAGATTTTGTTTGTAGAATTAAAAGTTCATGAGTAATAACCTTTATCCGGTAAAGCCGGTAATCTATCCAAAGTATGATCGAGATTTTTCCAGGGTATTTTAACAGCCAATCAAAACGAACTTCCACTATGCTTGAAGAAACACGCGTTTGTGTAATGATATGATGTATATATAGACGTCAAAATAATGTATTTCGCGCTTATACTGTATTCTAATTTTTTTAAACTTTTAGCATAGAAATGTACAAATTTCATTAGAAGGCTAGTTTGTGTGTGGTTCATTCTTTGTAACGTTTACTAATAAAAATACAATTTCTTTTTTGTCATTATTCTCGCTAGAACACAAATATTCGTTGTACAAAATAAACGGGTGTACTTGAGAACTTCACTTTGATGAAGGTGACTAGAAATTTTTTGCCTAAAACTATTTTATTTTTTGTCATATTAGAGTACTAATAAATAGCACGTTTGTATTTCATCCTTCAAGGCAGATAATATTTCATTGAGGGAGTCAAGCTTGGGCTAGTGAGCTTCGCTAGTCCTCTTGTAAGGCCCAAAGTCTCCCCTTATGCTTGCTGTGCTAGTGAACTCCGCTAGTCCCTGAGGTCCTTTTTGGATGCTTATAAGGCCTAGAGTCTCCCCACATATGCTCCTCTCTTCAAAATTACTTTTAAATATAATGATAAATACGGCTTTTCAAATATGCAAACAAAGTATGAATATTTCAGTTATGACAGTGTTTCCTGGTACTTCGTGTTAATAAATCGACTTCTGGACTTGTAAATTAATAATTACTCTTTCGTACAAATTTATTAGTATTGCAGAAGGTAGAACATAAGGTTAATACTGTGATTAATTTTGACATAAATCACGTAAGTTGTTGATAAAATATTTTTTTTCAAAAATTTTCGCAAAAAACAAAATTTTCACTTTTTTTTTTTTTTTATACAGCTTCAGAATGTTTCATATAACTAAATTACTCATAGGTGGACTTCTATCTGATTGACTGATGTATATCAATCGTTGGGTAGATTTGTAACGTTTACTAATAAAAATACAATTTCTTTTTTGTCGTTATTCTTGCTAGAACACAAATATTCATTGTACAAAATAAACGGGTATACTTGAGAACTTCACTTTGATGAAGGTGACTAGAAATTTTTCGTCTAAAACTATTTTATTTTTGGTCATGTTAGAGTACTAATAAATAGCACATTTGTGTTTCCTCCTTCAAGGCAGATAATATTTCGTTGAGGGAGTCAAGCTTGGGCTAGTGAGCTTCGCTAGTCCTCTTGTAAGACCCGAAGTCTCCCCTCATGCTTGCTGTGCTAGTGAACTCCGCTAGTCCCTGAGGTCCTTTTTGGATACTCATAAGGCCCGGAGTCTCCCCACATATGCTTCTCTCTTTGAAATTACTTTTAAGTATAATGATAAATACGGCTTTCCGAATATGCAGACAAAGTATAAATATTTCAGTTATGACAGTGTTTTTTGGTACTTCATATTAATAAATCGACTTCTGGGCTTGCAAACTAATAATTACTCTTTCGTACAAATTTATTAGTATTGTAGAAAGTAGAAACATAAGGTTAATATTGTGATTCATTTTGACATAAGTCACGTAAGTTGATAAATATTTTTTTCAAAAATTTTCGCAAAAAAACAAAATTTTTATTTTTTTTTTATATACAGCTTCGGAATGTTTCATATAACTAAATTACTTACAGGTGAACTTCCGTCTGATTGACTAATATATATTAATCGTTGGGTAGCTAATGAAAATACAATTTTTTTTTTTGTCGTTATTCTCGCTAGAACAGGAATATTCATTGTACAAAATAAAAGGGTGTACTTGAGAACTTCACTTTGATGAAGGTGACTAGAAATTTTCGTCTAAAACTATTTTATTTTGTCATATTAGAGTACTAATAAATAGCACAGTTGTAGTTCATCCTTCAAGGCAAATAATATTTTGTTGAGAGAGTCAAGCTTGGGCTAGTGAGCTTTGCTAGTCCTTTTGTAAGGCCTGAAGTCTCCCCTCATGCTTGCTGTGCTAGTGAACTCCGCTAGTCCCTGAGGTCCTTTTTGGATGCTCATAAGGCCTGGAGTCTCCCCATATATACTCCTCTCTTCGAAATTACTGTTAAGTAAAACGATAAATACGGTTTTTTGAATATGCAGACAAAGTATGAATATTTCAGTTATGACAGTGTTTTTTGGTACTTTGTGTTAATAAATCGACTTCTGGGCTTGCATACTAATAATTACTCTTTCATACAAATTTATTAGTATCACAGAAGATAGAAACATAAGATTAATATTGTAATTCATTTTGACATAAGTCACGTAAGTTGATAAAATATTTTTTTCAAAAATTTTTGCAAAAAACAAAATTTTCACTTTTTTTTTTTATCTCTTAAACCGTTTCTCCTGCAAATTTGCCCTGAAATTTTTGAAGTTCGATTTGTAATTCATGTAATGTTTGTATCATGGTAAAAATTAAGGTTTTATCTATTTGATCTGAAAAACCTGACTTTTTTTTATTTAGAAATTTATTAATTTTCAGTATTATATAATGTATTGTTTTTTTTTAGTTCAATCATTTTCTATTAGCTTTGTCGATCACGATCTTCGTTACGATCATTGTTACGATCATTGTAATTTTTCTTATTTACTTGTTTTTTTTTTATATACCACTTTAATATTACTTTTCAACCAAGATATACGATATGGATGATGATATTGAAGATACTAATTCATATATTTTTGAGCTTATACGAAATATTGAGAAGAAAATTGAAAATGAAGTTAGAGATATTACTGACAATGATAGTGATAAAGTTGAAGATGAATTTGCCAATGAAACTGAAGAGGAAACTGCTGACGAAGCTGAAGAAGAAACTGCAAATATTAAAAACAAAAAAAAAATTAGTAAAATTAATAAACATAGTCAAACAAAACAAAAAAAAGTATCTCAATTAAATTTACCATTACCACCGCAATTTCAAAAATTTCAGCATGCTAAATCATATCATATTTCTCAAGTAAAAGTAGCTGATAAATTACCTATTGGCAAAATTACTCCATATTCAATTTTTCGTTTATTTTTTTCTGATTCACAATTGAATATTATTATTGAAAATACAAATTAT